AAGAAATCATCACATAAGCAAAATTTAAGAGGAATATTATCTGTTTCTCTTTTCCTGCAGCATGAAAATATGGGACAAATTGGTTGGACTTAAATAACTAAAGCATTACCACAGTATGAACACTTTTCCTTACTTAGGAATAAACTAGTTGCTGGAAGATGTTATTTTGGAAAGTAGAAAAGTCAGATCTTCCTAGTAATCCTGCATTTAGTCATACACATACACAAAAAGGAAAATACTCAGAATTCTGATAGCCTGTGGGTAACAAACTGATCTGTAATCATTACCTGAACATCTGCAAATAAGAGGAATCCAAATGCACTATGGTGTTACACACCTTTTCTGAACTATCTTACATTAGTCAACAAGAAAGAAGTTGTTGCTAACTGGTCAGAGACTGGAGCGAGGTTCTGATCGTATTCTTAGGAACAGGATTAAGACTCAAAACGGAGTCAAGTGCTGCAAAACTCTATTTGCCCATTGCAAATGAAGAAGGGGGAGGAAAGAGAGAAAGAGAGAAAAGAAAGGGGGTTTGTGATAGCTACCACCACAGAACTGAAGCCCGACAGTCTGTTAGAAGATGAGTCCGTGGAACAAAAGTGAGAGATGTCCGTGAAGCGATGATGGTGGCAAGGAGCAGCAATAGTGGTGGCTAGGAGAAATGGTGATGGTGGAAAGGAGAAGCAGAGTGGTGGTGGTGTAAAGAGCCCCTGCTCTCCGCCCTCATCTCTGTTTTATGCCCTCAACCCCACCTACCACTAGCAGTGGTGCACATGCCCAGTACCATCACTGGGTGGGGTGGTCTGACTCTGGAGTTTTAGGTGGTTTCTGACCCCAAAGTTTTAGGTGGTTTCTGACCCCAGAGTTGTAGGTGGTTTCTCACCTCAGTTCTGGGTGCATGCGCAGGGGTGAAGTAGCTCTGCTGCCATGGCAGTGGCAGTATTGGGGATCCTGCTTCAGCAATCTCAAGGAAAACAAACACAGTCTCTGACAGAAGTGTATTAAGAAAGAGAATATTTCTCTATTTTATGATGGCAGTTCTTAACGTGCTGAATGCTTGTGATTTTTTGCCTAGCCCAAAGACATAATAACCAGAAGGATTTTCCTGTTTTCCACCTTTGTTGCGGATATTTCAATGTGAAGAATTGATCAACACTAAAAATGTTGGACTTGTTTTCTTGTTGAACAACTGTAAAGTTAGATATGGCAGCACTACTTAAGTGTTTATTAATCCATAAAGTTCTTTGCTCTTTATATCACATATTATTCTTTATTCTTTACCATAATTTAAAATGCAGTGCTTGTACTTCAACACTTACTACACATGGAAATCGGAGGCATAAGAGGAAACAAATGTCTTGTAAATTCCAGAGTAGTTGCTACTTAACTTCATTATTTAATTAAATTAATATGATTAAGAGTGTGCACACTTAATCAACACAAATGAATAACTTGTGTGCAATAATACACATGTAACAAATGCTAGCTCTTCATTTGGTCTCTGTGGAGGTAAGAATCTCTTTATTACTCGTTCTCTAATTTGGAACAAATTGAAAAGCTTCTCCTGGTACTTCTACTTCAAGACATACAGAGCCAACCAGAAGCAGATGTTCAATTCAGATTGTAACATTTTAGGATTTGTTGTTTCACAGAGAAGTTTTAAGAAAGTTCTCTTTCACCACTACCTCTTCATCCTGTTTGGTAAAATGTGCCAGCAACCAACAAAACAGAACTCATAACTCCAATCAAAGATTTGAAAACATGAAGCCTGGTTCCTCTGAAAAGCTATGATAAAATGATTCACAGCAGGGACTAGGAGTGCTGTAGATGCCAATATACTATACCTGAGCAGACCGGGGTTGGAAAGCAACCTATGCACATCCAAGAGTGCTGTGGTTCCTGCAGACTCAAGTTGGAACAATCTCTGAGATTGGCATGCTCCACAGGCAATATAAATATTAATCTAATTTCTCTTCTAATCCTGATTTGCAGATTCTTCTATTTTCATTTATAGATATTATCCAGGTTTGGCTTTTCCTGGGGTTATCCAGTACCCCCATCTTTCCCATCCTCCCACATTGCTGAGATTTAATGGTAAGAAAATTAAGAGAACCTCTGAAAAACTAGAGAAGCTGCTCTGCGTTGGCATCATTTTGCTCACCTGTTACTACAAGCTGCCTGTCAATGCAGCAGAGAAAATGTAGCTCCTCATTAAGCCACAAGGGCAATGACTGGTCTGAGCCTGGGGTACCCCTGGGGCCTTACTGCCCCTCCCCTGCCTCTATGGTGGAGCCAAATTCTTGGTGGAAAGACTGTCAGAACAGGAATCAGGGAGCTGTTAGACTTCTGGGTAATGAAATTCTTCAAGTTCTAAAGAAATTGAAATTCATCTTGTTTCAGGGCAAAAACTTGCCCTTGTATAATAAGGGACCTAGAACATGCCAATCCTAGAAACAACTGTTGGGAGTCTTGTAACCCCCTGAAAGACTCTGGTACTAGCCAGTCAAGAAAGAGGACACTTCTCAGGCTCAGGCTGAGAAGTTGCTCTGAAAAAGCCTAAAGTCGGACAGGATGAATATGCTGAACAGAGATGGGAGAACAACACTAATAGTGTAAAACCAGAAATGTTTCCAGCTGCCCATGCCAGTAGAGAGAGCATGCTATCCTCCTTTCCACACAACCTGATGGCAATGCTGCAAAAAGTCCTGCCAGGAATGCATTATAATTGAACCCTGTGTTCATAGCAGAGGAGCTTTGTTCTCAGGAGGTCACCAAAACATACAGACACACTTGCCTGGAGCAAGCTGAATGATAATGATAAAACTCGAGGAATTCCTTTGCATTCAAAAGAGAGAAAGAGGCTTCCTATAGAGAATGTGCAGCCAAGAACAAGATTTAAATGGTCCATTTCCATGTGAAAATCCAATCCATCATTAATTCATGAAGACAACTGACTCCATTCTGCCCTCAGAATTCATCACTGGGGATGGGTGTGTAAAATATACTACAGGTATGACTCTGATGTTGGGCTTCAACAATGCTAACAGGGCACTACACAGGTGTTTGCCAAAATGCAACAGGGCACTTCAGTGACTTGTAATGCAAAGTAGAATAAGGGGTTTTGTCTCCCCCTCTCTTCTGAATATAAAAAGAGAATATAAGAAGTCTATTTCCAAAATTATTAAAAGCAACAATGCAAAGCATGACTAGCTCCTGGCATCTTCACACCGCTCTCTGAACACTGCATAATATTGCGTTTCCCATCTTCAAAAGGGGCCTACATCTCAATTCTAATTTCAGGTGACCCTTCTGCATGGAAAGCATGTTAGGACTTCTGCTGTTCATATTAAGAACACGCCCATGGTCCTTAATGAAACTGGGTTGTTCTTGTGCAGAGCTTTGACCTGTACGAACAGAACAGAACTCCTGAGCTGCAGATCCCCAGCTTGCTCATCTCTCTGCATTCATGGGCTTGATAAAGCAACAGGGAGTTGGTGTTTTATGTGGAAGTATAGATCTGGAAAACTCTGTCATAAGTTGGAATGGTTTGAACTGAAGGGATGAAAACGATGATCCCAAAAGGAAAAGAACAACCAACTTCTTATGGCTTTTATTGATGGTTCTAAATTCTTATTGCTGGAAGCCTCCCAAAGATGTAATTGTGAGGTCTTCTCCAGCCTTTATTTGAAGCTGAATTCAATCTCTGCACTGTAGGTAGAACAAAACCACAACAAAACCTCCCTATCCCAGATCAGTATGCACAACTGAAGCACCATAGGCCAAGCTATCACCTGGGAAGTTATTTTGTGTGCTTTCTTTCTTGTGGCAGAGGCCATAGATGGGCATGGAAACATCAGCCTAAGGACATTCCTATCCCCATCCATTCATTGCCTCCAGCCTTTTGTAAGGCTAGACCAAATCAGAATGGGGAGGAAAGATTCAGGTAAGACTGTTATAGCTGGAGAGAAAGAATTTGGGAACACTGTTATAGTAGGTGTTTACCTTTGGGCAGATGGACAAAGATAAAAAGCAATGCTAACTGTTCACAGATATGGTAGTCCAAAAGGGACAAAACCTTCTGGCAATAAGCAAGTTGAGCAGCATGATTCACACAGCTGTCATCTCTGCATTTGATTTACTATAGTCCTTATCTAAGAACACACCTGGGAAAAGCACCTACCATCAAAATACACAGTATGTTTGCGAAGTATCTGCCCTAGCCAACAACAGGGCTTGATGCCCTCTGACAGGTGCCAGCTGGTCCCAGTCAAAACTCCATACTTCACCAAGGGGAAAGGGTACACAGAATTAGTAGTATTAGAAAAGTCAGAGCTCAAACTGTGCAAAAAGTGGCTGAGACCACATTATCCTGGCTGCACATGTCCTGGCCCCTCCAGATGACAGAAGCTGCTGAGGAAAGGAAAGGAAAAAGGAAAAGAAAACGGAAAGGAAAAAGGAAAGGAAAAGGAAAGGAAAAAGGAAAGGAAAAAGGAAAGGAAAAAGGAAAAAGGAAAGGAAAAAGGAAAGGAAAAAGGAAACGTACTCGTGCTTCCTGCCTTCTCACGCGGCAGCTCCGCTCCCGCAGCCTTCCACACATGCAGAGATGAAGCCTCGACAGGTCTCCACCCGCTTCAGCATCGGCCCGAGGGGGTCAGACAAAGCCCCCGCCGCGTCCCTTCTGACGTGGAGTACAGGAAGAAGCCGTGCTGACGCTCTCCCGCATCCCTGGGACTCGTGCTTCTGCTGTTGCTAATGCGCATCCCGTCCCCCTCAGGGATCACGAAGAGACAGCGATGAGCCCTTGAGCTGGCCCCATGCAGGGAGGTGCTCGGCCAAGGCCACTTCCAGCCAGGGCGGAGCGCACCGCACAGTTACAACTCGCCGGCATCCAGCCCAGCCCCGCTCGGCTCTCCACCCGCGGTCGTGTCAGTGGGCGGGCCCTGACGGCGACGATTGCATGCGGATACGTCCTCCGCCTCCCCAGTGCGTGCTGGGATCAGGCTGGGCTACGCTGCAAGCGTGAGGGAGCGGGGTCTGAGCTCGCGAGAGTCCCGGAGCCGCCGGCGGCCGGGCGGAGCTATGACGAGCACTTGGCTCGGGCCGGGAACGATTCCGTCCCGCCGGGAAATCGGGAGCCTAAGCGGGGCACTACCAGTTTTTGGCAGTAGAAGGGAGGTGTCTGGGTGGCTCCGCCGCCCTGCTTCTTCATGAGGACGGCAGCAGTGGTAAACGGGGCTGGCGCGCGAGGTGCTCGGGGCAGCACGCGGTGCTGAGAGGCCTCGGTCGGGAGAGACGATGGCCAAATGGCTGAGTAAGTACTTCAGCCTAGGCAATAACAAGACTAAGAGTCCTCCGCAGCCTCCGTGTCCTGACTACCGAGAGAAACACAATGGTACAGACAGTGCATCCTGTCCCGACAGACCACCACATCTCCACAACTACACGTCACCTGGCTTTCCACACCGTCGCCTGCATGACGGCACCAGTGACTTGCTCCGTGCCTACCATGCCCAGAAAGACCGTGACTTCGAGGATCCCTACAGTGGGCCCTGCCCATCTCTGCACAAGCTGCATGCCATGTGCTGCCCAGACTACTCCATGGCCAAGGACCTGAGACAGGCAGCCCCCCAGGCTTTATCCTCCTCATCGTGCTGTGCCATATCCCTGCCACCTGCACATCTGGCTCTGCACACCTCTTTCGTAGCCACAGTGAACGCCGTGTGGTAATGCTGCCTGACATGAAGTACATCTCCCCCAAGCACCGGCTTATCAAGGTCAACAGTGGTGGTAGCAGCGATGGAGCAGACAAGAAGCTCAACAAGGGCTCCAAGCATCTGATGACCTCTGTCCCATCTGCCATGAAAGATAAAGTAAGTGTTGTGCTCCTGTTCCTGCCACTACAGACTAGGTAGCAGGGCTGGGGCTATGTCAGCCCTGGAAGGATTTTTGGTGAGAGGACTAGCTCCTGTCTGAATGTGTATGTCTGGCACATGAAATGGTGGTGCCCTGCCCTCTGGGCTTTCAAACTCACCTCTGTTCTTATGGGGCAGGTTTGCAGGTGTGCCTAGTCCTGCTCTGACGCACAGTGTACTGCCAACATCTTGACTGTACCAAGGTTCTTGGGTTGGCACGCTCCTGCAGAACAGGATCTAAGTCTTTGAGGAGGTGCTTGGGGATCCCTAGAGTCACTTGAGAAGCCCCATGCTTGTGACCCAAAGTTGTGGCCTCAGCCCTGTTGTTGTGGTCTGGAGCAGTCATTATACTTAAAAAAAAAAAAAAAAAAAAAATTCTGATTCTATCCTGAATCAGACTGCCTGTTTTTAAGGAGACTGTCATGTGTCCAGTATAACTTCTTCGCATTTTAGTCAGAAGTGAAGTAGTTCAAAGTCCTGTGTTGTAACAGCACCACATCTCCCATGATAACTCTGTTTCCAACTGGCAAGTATCTGAAGCAAAATCTATAGCTACTGGCTCAGTTGCAAATGTTCTCCTATCTTTTACCAATTTTTCTCTACAAATATTAACGAAATTCTGTACACACAGCACTGGAGAGTGCTGGGCTCAGGAGCTCAGATTAGAGCTGGGAAGCTTTCCAGAGGGAAGTAATATTACTTATTTTGTAAGGACTGCACATATCCATTCCCGACACCACCCCCCGTTCCCCCCTCCCCCCCCCCCCCCCCCCCCCCCCCCGTTGGTCCTGTGAGTACAGTTTAGTTTTTTCATATACTGGAAATGAATATTTTTCCATTTTGTAAATTGGCATTTATAACTGAAGTGCAATTGTCACATCACAGAAATTCTAAGTATGTGCAGAATGTAATCAGTTTAAATTGATACATGCGTGTACATGTTTAAATATGTAACATGATTGCATTGAGTGATGATACATGTCCGTGACAACTTGATAAATTATATCTTGTCCAGGTGGAATTCCAAATAAATCAGCTTATGAATGTGATGATACAAGGTTAAAAGTGTAGAATTTGTTACACTGTCTGTCATTTTAGGTGTACTTCCTGTCTGGAAGCAACTTCTTTTGTGGGAGCAATTGGTTAAAGCTAGATTCTCACTATGTTACAGTCTCAGGATATTCAGACTTCTTTCAGTTGCCTGTGTTGATACCATGTATCTGCTGTTAGGCAAATACTTTCATCAACTTCATACTTGAGAGAAAATAACTGCTTGGGGCAAGATGCTTCCAAGTGCAAATGTGAGGGGGGTTTTGTTTTGGTTTTGTCTTTTTTTTTTTTTTTTAAATAGGGCATTTTTTTTTAATTATTTTTTAATTTGAGGCCTTACTGAAGCAATTTTCAGAGCAGAAACTACATCTGTTAACTAGGTAACCCACTACCTTGTGTTGTCATAAATGTGTGCGGCTCCCAAGCCCTTGTTGCAGGTTCTAAAACTTGTTTTGAATGAGCAGCCTACAATTTTTTAAAATAAGGTACAGAACACTCATGTCATAGTCACATTTTTTTCAGTTTTTGAGAGTGAGAACTATATATGACAAGCAGAAAATCTTAGCATGTCTGAGAGATAAAATTATCCCTACACATCAAAAGGTTAAGTGTGCCTGCACCCACCCACAACAGAATTTGGTTGTAGGAAGCTACATAGATTGCCTTTTGTTCAACTGTGTTATTTCCTCCCAGTAATGGAAATGAAATCTTATTTCACAGCCCTGAAATGTAAAGCCTGACAGGTGAATTTTGAAAGCAGTGGTCATAGTGAGCAGGCAGAGAACCAGTATAGGCTTCTTTCCTATACCTGTCATTCACTGAGGAGGGAAAAAGACAGATTTTATTAACAGAGTGTGTCTAATTCAGTGGCAAATAAAGCAAGTGGAAATAAACTTCTGTAAGAAGGATATAGTAGAGGAGATAGTAAAGATGTTAAAAACATCAAAAGGAAGAAAAAAAATCTGTGAGTAATATAGCTTAAGCTAGTAAGTACCTTAGGAATGAAAAAAAGATCTAGTTGCCATATAGGTCTGTCATCAGAAGTATGGTAGTGTTTAATGATCCACTAGTGTTCACTAAATGCTTATGTTCCGTTCCAGTACCTTTGGGTTTTTGTTTGTTTGTTTTTGTTTTGTTTTGTTTTTCATATACAAGGATAGAGAACTGTTTTCCTTCATGTGTTTAAATGAGAAGTGAGAAGTATGGTTTTCAGAAAATTCAATGAGCAATTTTAGAACTTCTGTGATTAGTCATCAGTAAAGTGTTGGCTGAAGAGCTCAGTTGTGTGTTAAATTTGAAATAGTTACTAGAGTGGAAGGAAATTCAGGAAGGTGCTTGTTTGATGTAGTTGCTTATAAAGGACAAATGGCAAAGTATGAATAATGACAGACTGATTAATCAAAATTCCCAGGAAAAAAATGATTGACTAGCTGAATCAGGGAGTAAAGGAGACGGAGGTTAAATGCAATGGCAGGCATGATGGTATTTTGCAAGATTCCACACATAGGTTTTAAAAGTAATCATAGAGATGTAATGTATCTGGGGTTCAGGAAGCTTCGATGTGTAGAGGTAGAAGTACCAACTAAAATGAAGCAGACAAACCCAAATTGCCATGTATTTTTAATAGTGTGGTGACTGACCTCTATAACAGAAGCTTGTGGGAGAGTCACCATTGCCAATGTCTTTGAATTCAAATTGGTGGGTGGATTTTTTTATTTAGGTAGTACAATCAGGCAGGTTTTAGGGCTTTAACAGTGATGTGTATCTTCAAACAAGGGAGAGCAAGATATGTTATAATTCATGACAGAAGCAGCTCAGTTCCTCCAGTATAGAAGATAAGAAATTAATGGCTTCCATCTTTAGTGCTGGCCTGGGAGATGTTAACTTCTTAGCTCTCCTGTGGCAAATGAATGTAGACAAGCTATTTGTGTAAGAATAAATGTGTGACTTGGCTTATGTGGTAGGTTCACAGTGGCTGAATGCCAGATGCCCACTAAAACCTCTCTCTCTCCCTTCCTCAGCTGGACAGGAGAGAGAAAATTCAGTGAAAGGCTCATGGATCAAGATAAGGACAGGGAGAGATCACTCACAAATTACAGTCATGGGTAAAACAGAATCAACTTAGGGAAATTAATTTAATTTATTACCAATCAAATCAGAGTAGGGTAATGAGAAAATAAAACCAAATCTTAAAATGCCTTCCCCCACACCTCCCTTCTCATCGGCTTCAACTTCGCTCCTGATTTTCTCTACTTCCTCTCACACAGTGCAGGGGGAATGGGAAATGGGGGTTGTGGTCAGTTCATCACACGTTATCTCTTCTTGTTCCTTCCTACTCTAGGGGGACGACTCCCCATGCTCTTCCCATGCACCAGCATGGGGTCTGTCCCACAGGAGACAGTTCTCCATGAACTTCTCTAACATGAGTCCTTGCTCTGTGCTACATTTCTTCATTAACTGCTCCAGAGTGGGTCCTTTCCATTGGATGCAATTGTTCAGGAACAGATGACTCCAGCACAGATTCCCATGGGATCACAAGTCCTGCCAGCACACCTGCTCCAGTGTGGGCTCCTCTCTCCATGGAGGTCCCAGATCCTGCCAGGAGCCTGCTCCAGTGCAGGCTTCCCATGGGGTCACAGGTTCCTTTGGCTGCATCCACCTGTTCTGACAGGGGTCCTCCACAGGCTACAGGTGGATCTCTGCTCCACCATGGACCTCCATTGGCTTCAGGGGACAGCCAGCCTCACCATGGTCTTCAGCATGGGCTGTAGTGGAATCTCTGCACTGGTGCCCTGAGCACTTCCTCTCCATCCTTTTTCATGGACGCCGGTGTCTTCAGAGTTGTTTCTCTCACATATTCTCACTACTCTCTTTGGTTGAAGTTGCTCTTTAACAGTTTTTTCCTCCCCTTTTCTTAAATATGTTATCGCAGAAGTGCTACTAGTGTTGCTGATTGGCTCAGCCATGGCCAGTGGTGGGTCTGTCTCGGAGATGGCTGGCATTGGCTGTGTGAATTCTACACTTGTATAAGGAAAAAAAAAGCAACATTTGCTTCCATGGGATCCACCTTAGACGTGTGTGGTGCAGAGATCTGGCTGCTATATAAGCATGAGGGCTAAAGCTGTTTGTGTTGAAAGCTTTCCCCCATTATGTAAGAAACAAGTACCTTTCTGACATTGCAATAGACTGTGGTAATGCTGTTTGAACTTTAAGGTCCTGCATAAAAGTGCTTAGGCTCCATGGAACATTATTAATATCTGTATATAATTTAAACCCTTTAGGAAACATTGAGAAGATGTTTATCTTATTTCTGTATATGAAAGTTCTAAGTTTTATTTGATCTCGCAAGTGAGAACAAGTCAGGTGTATTTAACAGAATCTTGCAGCTGGTATTTTGAGGTGCACTGAGGAAACACTTGAAAGATGTCTAATCAGTGATGGAGTTATTTATATCAAAGTATATAGTTTCTAGAGATCCCAAACTACAAACATAACTGTGTCTTATTCCCATATTTAATCCATTACAACAGTGTGTCAAGCTGCCACTTTTTACACTTGGTCCTACTCTGAAACAGTCTTCCTCTCTGCATGTTTCCTATTGACATATGGCTCTGCCTTTGAATCTGAGGTCTCAAGAAAAAGATACCGGTGGCCACTGGTCTTGCAAACCTACATGAATGGCCTGGGCAAGGCCACACATAAAGGTAGCAAGCTGAATTTTTTCAGTGCATCTCATGTTGCTGTAGTGCAGCTATAATGCAGCTAGAAATGCATTTTTCCACATGTCAGTCCCATGATTAAGGGACTGTCTTATGAACGGGAAGATATTCAGTTCTTACCTGAGGCTGTGGAGTCTTAATGACTTTAGGGCTGTTCAATCTGATGTGATAGGCTATTAAGTTCTGGTG